GTTTTAAAGTAGATCCTGACTCTTGCCTCTAAATGTTGCCATATCAAAGGATTCTGATCAGGGTCCCAACAAACCATAGGTGCTGGATTTAATATTCCATTTCATTGTATTTCTAATTCATATATTGTAACATCATTTCAGTCTCTAGCTTTGCCATCCCTTGCTTTGTTCTTGTTTTTTCAAGGGTTTTTTTTCTCTTCAGAATTCCAGGGACATTAAACAGGTTCAGTCCTCACTGGCCATTTTGGGGAAAGTTCCTTCTACAGCTAGTATTTTTTGTTATTTTTGCTGAAATTTTTTATTGATGCCATTAGAATCCAAAGCCAGATAAGGAATTTCTAAATAATAGCAGTTTGTTCAAATGGCCCTAACTAAATTGTAGGCAGGTTTACTAAAAAAAACAAAAAAACCCACCCCAAACCAAACTTGGATTTCAACCGGATTTAATCCGTCCACGGATTAAAAAATGCAAATGTATTACGAACAAGTTCCGTTTAACATATGAGTGTATTTCTGAATGCTAAATGGGGGCTGTAAGAATAAAATCTTATATCCGGGTTCGTTTCCAGCACCTAGTTTGGAGGTGACCCGCCACTATGATTTTACTCTCTTTAAAGTCCCTTTTATTCAAAATCGCTTCGCCGGTGTCTGGCGGAGTTAGGATGGGATCAGCGTCCACCCGGAAAGCCGCCTACATCTCTTTACCCGGGATAAACCCCCTTTAACCCAGCGGGGTTTCCCTCCTTGTCAATATTGTCCTTGCTCCCGAAGCAAGCCCGGTCTTCCGCAGGGTTGCTCGGGAGAGGCTTACTCAGAGGAGTAAAACCGACCTAAAATGCAAAAACCGATACAAAGCCATCGCCAGCTAAAAGGGTGCGAAAGAGCTGCAGCTCCGCAATACGGCTCGGGCGTGCATCCCGAAGGAGCAAGGGGAGAGCGGGTCGCTCCCTTTCCTAACTCGATCTTTGGATCCCCTTATGCGATCCGTCAACCGGTGCCCAGGGAAAAGCCCCGCGCGGGCTCCGGGGATGCCTTCGCCGCCCCTCCTCCACCCAGCCCAGCCGGCTTCAGCGCTACCGGCGCTGCTGCCGCTGCAGACGCCGCCGCCGCTGCAGCTTTAAGGGACTGCAGCCATCCCGCCTGGCAGACGCCGCCGAGCCTCACAAAAGAACAGGATGTTGTTGATTTGTAACCAAACCACAGAGAGGAAATGAGTGTCAATTTCCTCTAAACATCCCAACCGTCTGCCTCCTTCGCTTCCGCCTCTGCCACCCCCGCAGCCCTGGAAGGTCTGCGCCTGCGCCGGGTTCAGCCCAGGGAATTTCGCTGAGACGGTGGGGCTTTCTCGCGCCTCGCCCGGTCTCTTCTCGCTTCTCTTCCTCGCTGTGTGAACCCCAAGTCCGGACCCGTGCCCCCCCCCCCCCGCTCCTTTTTTTTTAATGGTTGTTTGCTGGGCTGGGAGGTGCGGACGGCTTTACATTTTGTAAGCAAACGGGTAGTACCTTTTCCGACTACTGTAAAATAGGACATTTTATTTTTTTAAAAAAAATAATGCATAAATCCGTGAGATTTGGTAGTTGGAAAAGCTGCTTCCAGACTCTTGATTTCTGGCTACCGTGGGCTAAGACGACCGTCCTTCGACCCCTTTTAAAGATCCGTCCCAACACACTTGGGCGGATGGGAGAGTCGTTGCCTACGTGAGTTTCTCTCTACAGGGAAGGAAGAAATCCATTAGCATTAATCCTTTTTTTGTAGTTGAGATCTCACAGAATAACAGAGTTGGTCCTGCAGGAAATCCCTGAAATCCAGCGAATCTTTTCAATAGTTCAGTTAGAGAACCATCTTAAGTGCCACTTTTTAACTATTGTGCCAGGGCTGATAAATGAAGAGATGGAATTTTGGGCCGCTTGTATTTTTAAAGCAGCAGCCTTGATATTAATCTACAGAAAGATTCATTTTTTCCACTCAAAATGTGCACTCTCCTTGATTCCAAGTATCTAAACAGATAACCCGTTCGGCTTCATCTTGTAACAGAGAACACCAGTATTCGAGGGGACTTTATTTATTTTATTTATTTTATTTTATTTTATTTGTCAATTGTTTACAAGATAATAAGTATAAGTGTATATATAGTTATGAATACATGAAATGGGTACATATAAGAAAAATAAAAAAAATAAAAGAAACAATAGGACAGGGACGGTAGGCACGTTGGTGCGCTTATGCACGCCTTTGGTGCTCTCACCTTGGTTGTTTTCTTGCAGAGGTTTCATTACCCCAAACTAGGTAATAAGTGCTAGATATCAGTGCTATTGTTAATACTAGAGTATTTGACTAATTACTGAATAATTTGAGATTAACAAATTACTCAATAATTAACACTAACAGATTAACAAAAACAAGCCTAATACTGCAATATCCCCACCAATTTTGTGTGGGAAAGGAAAATAAGTTCTGTTTATGCTATTAGGAAGGAGCCTGTAGAACAGATTAGGAACAGGTCCTATTGGCTGATTTATTTCTGACAGAAGCATAGAAAATAGCTTTGGGTGCCTGTTGATAAATGGGAAGGAGAATCTGCCACATAAAGTCAAGGAAATGATAACTGCCAAGACAAGGGGGGAAAAAATCCAAAAAATAAAATATTTAGAGGAACTGGATATTTAATGTATTATTGGACTCAGTCTTGGCCATAGAATTTAATACCAATGAATTCTTGGAGAAGCATTTGCAATAATTACTGTTGAACGCATCTGACTGATTTTGTTACTTGTTGGAATTTGAGTGATTTATGTATATATTATGATTGTTTTGAATAAAAAAGATGGCAAATACCAAATATAATCTTACTGTCCTCCAGATGTACAACAGATGTCCTTGTTAGGCAGTTCAAATAAATTAAGCCAGCGAGGAATCAAGGCTATTATGAAAAGCCCTTTGTATTCACTTGCCCACATAGAGGTATACAAGCCTGGCTGATAGGAATAGTACTTGGACTCACATACCTCTTCATCGTACTTTACAGCTGGCCAATAAGTGGTTTACAGAGTCAGCATATTGCCTCCAACAATTTCGGTCCTCATTTTACTGACCTCGGAAGAATAGAAGGTTGAGTCAACCTTGAGCCGGTCAGGATCAAACTGCTGGCAGTTGGCAGAATTAGCTTTTTTGATAACATTGGCTTCCATAAAAGCATGTTTAGATTGCTGAATGGAAGACAGCCTGATGTCCGGTCCCATGCATATTTACTCAAAATCAAGGCATATACAACTACGTATATTTTGCTAGAAATAAGTCTCACTAAACATAATAGGACTTCCGAATAAATAGGCATAGGGTTGCCTTTAAATTCTTTTATGCCTGCAAATGTATTCTGGGATAATAGCTGTGGGGTACATATAACGTAGTCTCCTTCAAGCCTTGGCTCTGGATTACTTCAAGGATAAGTCTATAGTTTTCTTGGCAACAGTATGGGAGTACTTTGCCATTGATTTCTTCCAGGTTGTTGTTTTTTTTTCAAAATCCCAGTCGAGTCTCCAATTTTGGCATTTCCTGATGCTACTCTATCAATTACCAAGCCTGGCCTTCCTTATATTTTGGAGATAATTCCTACATTTGAAGAAGGGATTGCAGGTTTGACTTTTCAGCCTAACAGTGATGCTAAACCATAGGCAGGAAATTGAATTGCAACATAGGATTAGAGCAGTGGTGGAATTCAAATGTTTTTACTACCGGTTCTATGGGCGTGGCTTGGTGGAAGGGGAAGGAGACTGTAAAATCCCCAGTCAGAGGTGGTGTTTGATGGTTCTCCAAACTACTCAAAATTTCCGCTACCGGTTCTCCAGAACTGGTCAGAACCTGCTGAATACCACCTCTGGATTAGAGGGTGACAATCTGTTAATTGGTTATGGATGTATCCCTGTAGCAGTTGGATACTTCCTTTCTCAGAGTAACTGATTATGCTACTCCAAGATAACTTCCATACTTATCTTGATTTATTCAGTCATTGAGATTGGCATTTTTTAAACACACACACACACACACAACCAAATGTAGTAGCAAAATGCTATTTTAGGGGTCCCAGGGGAAGCTTAATTTGTCCGTTATTCCCCCCCCCCCAAAGATGTCTTCTAGTTCTTTCACTTGCAGATAACATCTTAACAGATTTGGTAAGTCTTTAAAATTATAGGGTCTGGATGTGATTTTTAGGACATTTTCAACCCTTCCCCTTGAAAGGAAAATGTCTATTATTGAAATGTCTATTATTTTTTTCTTTATATTTTGATCCAAAACTTATAGGAGATTGCAGTGTTTCATATTGCAAATCCAAGCAGATACAAGGGCTATAATTCATAAAATACACTTAGGAACTTAAGGCAGTAATTCTATTCCTTCTGATACTGGGAGTCAATTCCTGTAGACCAAAGATATCAAACTCACTGCATCACGATGTCACATGACATATCGGCATTTTTTGCCTTTGCAGAACTGGTGTGGACGTGGCCTGTGCCTGATGCATCTGGTCTGTGGGCTGCCAGTTTGACACCCCTGCTGTAGACCCATTTATTTCTACTCCAGCTTCTTTCCTTATGCAGGTAGCATGGTTTTAAATAAAGGCAGGGATTGTATAATCTTCCAGATGTTGCTGAACTACAATGCCTATAATCCCATTGAGCATGGCAAATAGTGAGATATTCTGGGGACTATAGATCTACACCACAGGAGGATCCTTCTGATATGCAAAGGATTCCCAGGAAAGATCTCATGCACCCATCAAGGGTTACTGCTTTAGGTGCCTTCAAACACAATGTGCAAACTATTTTAGGCATTGTTCTCACAAGAAGCTAATCAGGGTATAAACCAGACTTTAGAGTACATGTTTGGGTATAAATGATTTATTGATTGCTATTCAAAAGGGTTACCTAAACATTGAAATTGGACACTGGGGATTAAACTGAGCTCGAGTTCTTCAATGTCATTTTTTTTTTAGTGGAAGAACACAGGTTTTCCTTTTTTAGGACCACAATTGTAACCTGTACTTCACTGTCAAATGACACCATTACTAAGTGAAACTGTGAGTATGCTTATGATGTTACTTTAGCTTTACTGACGTGGCAAAGATTGGAAATGCAAGAATTGCTTGCAACATTACTTTTTCATCACCATTTAACTATGAATGGTTATTAAAAAGGCGGTAGCTAACTCAAGACTACCTGAACCTAAAAGTCCAACATGGTATAAATAGGAAGCATGTTTAGCATGCCAGCCTTTGTTTCTGAGTCACACTAGTATATATATTATTCAAGTCACAGCAATAAGCTTTTTCTAAATAAGGGTTTAAGGTATTTAATTTCAGAATGCCAGACTATGATGGAGAAACAGCAAAATGCTTGCACTATACACGGTTTTATTTTTCTAATACAAAAAGGAGTGCGGAGTCACAGACTATTTTAACAAACAAACAGCAGAGTTTTGGGATTGCATGGAGTAATCAATATGAGGATGATTGGAAATGGTAGTCCAATTGTTTTGAGGTTGTAAATGGCTCGTATGGATTTATCACTAGAGCCTCCTTTCCACTTTTCTTTCTTGCACATGATCCTGAGATTTCTGGAAGGAACATATGCAGGATTCAAAAACAATTCAGATGTATTTCACACCTCGTACTGCTTTGCTACTAATAATTCGCACTAGTCTGAAAAAAAGATAAAAAACAGTTCACTTAAAAAGCTGTTTTTTTAAAAAAAAATCCAAGGGTGCAGCGATTACATATTATCTCTATCCGTGTTCATGTGATACTCTAAAAATTCTCATTGGCAAAGCTGGAATTGCTTTGGTAGAACCCATACAAATCTTGTTTTTTTGTTGTGCCTAGTTATTTCTTTTCAGATGCATATATGTGCCCCTAGCTGATGGAAACAGGAACCCTAACTGACCATGGCTTCAGTCCCTATGTGGGGGTATTGTAGGCCTAAATTCATATTTCCATTTTTGCCCACCCTCCCTTCACATTAATATTAAAATACCTTAAGAGGTAGGAATTGCATGTAATGATTACAGAGCAAGGCTTGTTGATTGCAGTCATGGCACAAAGTTGGTGGGATCAAATGAGGCACATAGCAGAGCTTGGACTTTCTCTTTTACCCCCAATGTGGATGTGTCTGTGGATGTGCACTTTGCACATCTGGTAACATTTTATTAACTTATCAATTAAGTGTTTATGGCAGAGCTGTCAAACTCCTGGCCACAGGCCGGATGCATAATGCGCTGGCCACACCCATGCCCAGGTTAGCGAAGGGGAAAAAAAGTCCCAATACGTTATGTGACACTGTCTTGACAATGTGAGTTTGACACCCTTGGTCTATGGAGATTCTCAGTCATCCAGGTCATGGTTCTTCTTCAAAAGGCAATTGGACTTTGTCGTTGGAAAAACAGTCCAGCTATCTTTTGAAGAAGTTCCTTTGGGTTATTTATTAAGTGTACTGTATTATTAATCATATGCTTAATAACAATAAGTCATAATAAGCTACAATGGTGTTTTTCAACCTTGGCTATTTTAATATGTGTGGACTTTAACTCAAAGAATTCTGGGAGTTGAAATCCACACATCTTAAAATGGCGAAGCTTGAGAAGCGCTGAGCTAGGGAAACGCATCTATATTCATTTGTTTTTAACCTGGAAATCTAAGCAGAGAAAGTTCTAGATGGGAGACATCGGAAAAAACTAGAGCAAAATGCTAGAAGCTACACAGTGCAATAAATGTCATGGAAGAATATCATAGAAACTTCCTTGCCCAAACTTGTCAAAAAAAACTTCAACAATATGGACATGTGTATGGAATCACCAAGAGTTGAGTTCAACTTGAAAGATTTCCTTTTTAAGATTTCCTTTGCACAGATGTGCAAATGTAAAGATTTCCTTTACATTTGTCATGTTTGTCATTTCTTTCTTGCCTCAGAATAGGAATAAAGAGGATTTCCAGACCTGCAAATATGGGGTTTGGCCCATTGCTGGTCAATAAGATAAGAGGAGGGTGAATTTTCTCTGTGAGCTTTTCCTGAGTCCCAAGATTCACATCACCAGAAGGCTGTTTGAGATGCACAAATCCCAGGTGACAGTTTTTGCACTTGAGCATTCCTGTTCTGTTTGTTGGAAAAGGGCCCTCCTTGTGGGAATCAAGTATCTAGGGGGGAAAAATGGTTCTGCAGGTTCCATTTTGTCTCTTCCTCCCCTTCTATTTCTTAGTCACTTCTTTGGTAGTATTTAAGTTATCAAATAACAGCACCTCCAAGGTCTTGCCTTCAGCAGCATTGAGCATATTCACACCAGATCCTGCTCTTGCCTCACAAGGAAAGGAGGGTGGGGGGAAAAACGTACATTTTATCACAGCTGTTTCTAGCAGCTGTGCTTTAGGCAGGGGGTGTTAATTGATAATTTATGTCTTTCCTGTCACAAAGTGTTACTTTGAGGTATTAGCAGCTTCTGCTAACACCCGGTCCTTGGATAAAAGCAATAAAATTCAGGGGTGAGGGGGTTGTGCCCAATTGCCCCTTTTAAAGAAAAATATACACATTTGTTCCATTTTTTGAAAAAACAACAACATAGGAACTTAATTTTATACAAATCTATCTTCATTTGTTCATTTGAGGCTACTCTAGAGAAAAGAGGGACTAGGGTGCCACGATAGCAGTACTGCAGTATTTGAGGGGCTGCCACAAAGAAGAAGGGGGTCAACTTATTTTGCAAAGCAGCTGAAGGCAAAAGAAGAAACAATGGATGGAAACTAATCAAGGAGAGAAGCAACCTGGAGTTAAGGAAAAACTTCTTAACAGCGGAACAGCTTGTCTTCAGAAGTCGAAGGTGCTTCATCACTGGAGGTTTTTAAGAAAAGACTGGACAGCCACCTGTCTGAAATGGTATAGGGTCTCTTGCTTGAGCAGGGGTTGGACTAGAAGACCTCCAAGGTCCCTTCCAGCTCTATTTTGATTGGTTATCCTTATAAGCATCAGTCGTTTGTGTCTACGTACCTACTATACTTTTATTTGGTTTGTGTCCAGTTTGAAAACAGGAGCGAGAAGCTTACTTGTATATACTGAGATCTGAAATGGCAATTGGCGCAGCTAATGAGTAGAAAAGGTGCTATTTGGATCCTTATGTGGCCCTTTGCATCATTCAGTGAACTCAAGCATCTGTAGCAGAAAAGTCTATGCAGGAAAAGTAATCCAATATGATTGCTTCACAGAGACATACACTCTAGGTCCATTAGGAAAATAAAAGGAGACAAGGTAAGCGGAAATTAAACAGGCTAAGGGAAAGAATGGAGAGAGGAAAGCAAGTTCAGGTAGGATTACTGGAAATGACTTTTTGCAATCAGATGTTATTGCTTTTTTCCTAACTGGAGACTGTAGAGGTAAAGCCGCATATCTAAATCTCTCATACTAGAAATTCATTTATCTAGGAAATGAACATATCGAGGCAAAGGGATCAGCCTCCCTTTCTACTTGGCCTGCCACTTTGTGTATGTGTTATGGTTCAAGAGCTCATATGCATGTGGGCTGCAGACCGTTCTTTCCTGATTTAATACTTTACTACAAACATTAAATTATATCATTTAATTCTGCAGACCATAGATATTCAGATCCAAGCATATGCAAGCATGAATATCTTAGTATAGGTAGTCCTTGACTTATGACCATAAGTGAGAAATTCGTTAAGTGAGCTTTGCCCCATTTTACACTTTTCTTGCCATAGTTGTTAAGTGAAACACTGCAGTTAAGTTAGTAACACTGTTGTTAAATGAATCTGGCTTCCCCATTGACTTTGCTTGTCAGAAGTTCGCAAAAGGTGACCCCGGGACACTTCAACCATCATAAATATGAACCATTTGTCGAGGATACTACATGAACATGAGGATACTACAACGGTTGTACATGTGAAAAATGGTCATAAGTCCCTTTTTTCAGCATCATTGTAACTTTGAATGCTCACTAAATGAACTCTTGTAAGTTTAGAGCTACCTGTACTTTAAAGCTTATCTCTATCTCTTTCTTTGTTGGAAAAGACTATCTGGATTATTGAACTCTAAAACTTATAGGTGTCCTTCCTAGGCATCCATGCCTGGGAGCAGTCTGAATGAGTTTGCTGGAATTTATTTCTGAGCAAACGTGCACAGTGTTTTCATGTCAGTTAATTTGCCTGACTTCTGGTGTGATATTTAGGGTAACCAATACAGAAAGGCAGCTGTCTGAATGTAAACAAAGCCACACAACCACAAGTAGGCTCTTTACTTTCCTTTTGTCTTGAGTAAACTGGTTTAGTTTAGAAAGAAAATAATGGGGTTGAAGAAGGATTTATTTAGCAACAATGCTTCAGGACATCCTATCTCAACTACTGTGATACATAGCCTTCTTATCCACTGTTTCCTCTTCATATGAGTCACGGTATTTCAAAACTCATATTTCAAAACCATTTCCCCGTTTCACCTATTTTAGGTGTTCTAGTTTCAAAGGAGAGATTCCTGAAAAATACACGTTTGGCTGTTGGAACACATTTGAGCATTGACACCCTGATGATTGGCCCTGGATCTATACGCCACTAACACATAGGAGGGGAAAATACAGGAGGCTTTTTCCCCCCTCATCCCTGCTGGGTGGGAAATAAGAAGCTGGCATTTCCTCTTTTAAACTATTCAAAAGCTGGTTTTAAATAGGATTAACATCTTAACAGATGCTTCATGGTGTGCTCTCTGCAGGGAGGATCAAAGAGCAAAGAAGGCCCTCTGACTGTTTGCTGTTCCTTTATGTAGCAATTTTATGGAGGGGGGGGGGCTTTTGCCTTTTATTTTAAAAATAATGAAACAGGGCCACAAGTTAACTTAAAATTGCAAACTGGATTGCAGATTCCACTGGACTTTGGGGGTTTTTTTCTCTAGTGTAATCAAGAGATGCTATAAAATGGAAGTCTGGATCAGCCATATATATATTCCAACTGGAAAAGAGATTCTCATTCTCAGCCATGCATGTTTAGCACCGTTCTTCAAATTACAACTTTTAGTTATTTTTGATATATGCCTGGTGGTTATCCAGGCGTCCTCGGCCTCAATTATATCCTTAACATAGAAGCCACGATCCAAATATATGTGATGTGATATGCATTTATACAAAGCAAAAAAGCAATAAATAAATACATAATTTTAAAAAAATAGCAGGCACATTTTTTAAAATTGCTCTTGGACCAACTGTCTTGAATTCAGTTTTCAAAGAATGGTGGTGAAGGTGCTGGCTTAGAAACCAGGAGACTGTGAGCTCTAGTCCCATTTTAGGCATGAAAGCTGGCTGGTTGACTTTGGGTCAGTCTCTCTCGGAGCTCAACCTACCACACAGGATTTCTGGTTGTGCGAAAAAAGATGAGGATGAAGGAGTATTATATATATATATTCATCGCATTGAATTACTTATAAAGGAATAAAGGTGAGATAAAATTAAATAAATTTCATTCCTCCTCTATGGTTCTAGAGAAATATATTTCAGTGTAATTGAATGGATGGAGTCAGAATGGCCACATCTAAAGTCCCTTCACCCACCAAACATAATCATTACTGAATTAGCATGCCTAGAAATCTGGGTCATCCCATTTTTTTAAATCTTCATTTTCCTTCATTCCTGATTATTAGGCTATGCTGCTTGAGGGCAAATGGGAAACAACTGAAGGGACCCAAGTTGGCAGGGCCAGCTCTAGACATTTAGGCCACCTAAGGAGAGTCATATTCTGGTATGTTCATGGTTTGGTTCGTCTTCTCATTTTGTCATTAATTTCAAAAAGGCACTCTCTTTTTTCTTAATTATATTTAATGCTCAAGTTCACATAAAGTAAATTGGGTCAAGGATTGTGCTGTTACTGCTTTTCACTATTTTACTGTGTTTTTCAGAAGTCTTCAATTTTGGTACCCTCCCCCCACAAGTCATGGCACTCCTAGGCTGGTGCCCACTCTGTCTTTGCCTAAAGCTGGCCCTGTGGGGAAGCTGATACTTTTGGCAGGTTCTTCTGCTCTGTGTTAGTCTGGACACCTGGAAGGAGGATGGAAAAGAAGATGCAATTACCAAATTGTGCTTTAGAATCAAATAAAGCTTCTGCACATTGGATTTGTTTTTGTTTTCTGATAATATAATGATGAGCACTTGGCATTGGTTTAGTTTGTGGCAAAATATGTTCAAACTAACATGTATTGTCCTTGATGTAGGGAATGAAGCATGTAATATAAAGGTGACTAAGGCAGCAAGTTAATTTACATTTTATTTCATATGTAAATGAAATACAAAAGACTGTGGTTTGGCGAGAAATAACAAATAGAGCATTAATTAATGGAAATGAAAGAAAATGTATCTGAAAGAAGGAAAGATGTTAGATATCAGAATGAAGGTCTTATCCTGTGGATCACTGCTGATAAAAAAAAAGTACAGGGAAGTGAAGGGCCAGCCTTAATTATAAACAAAAGAGTTAAAAGGTTTGTGAGAAACTGTATATGTCCTTGTTACAAAAATAGCTGGTCATCTTTGTATATAATGCTCCCATGAATAGGAAGAGCCAGAAATGAATTTTGGGGGGAAATGTGTAAAGTTTTTAATGAATCTGATTCAGATGTAAAAGAATATTTTGGTAAGTGGTGTAGATAAATAGGTAGGGACAAAATGAGATACCACATAAAAAAGGGGTTTAGGTTAATTGAAGACCCCAGATTGAGAATACACTTGGATGAATAATTACTTAGAAAGAGTTCTGTTCGTTTCAAATATGTGATTCTGGAATAAATAATATGTATATACGGAAAAAGAATGAATATAAATCTTAACATTGTAATCAATTTGTTTGCTAATAATGAGATATTGACATAATTAGTGAAATATACAGTGATCGTGAGAGATTTTTGAACCTGGAACAAAATATGTTTTATTTTATTAATCTCATTTTAACAATGTGAATCTTGCAAGAAATAGACATTAAAGAAGTGAAAGAAAGGAGAATGCACACTGGGCTGCAAAAAGTTATTTTACACGAAAAAGTCCCAACAGAATAAAATAAAGTGGCCATAAGGGAAGAAAATTTAAATGATGAATGTAACACGGTAAAAAGTACTATATTATACAGTGCTTCAGAAATTTGTGTATTTACTGTATGGCAATGAAAAGGATGAAAAAGGATGATGAAGTGAAAGAAGCTGTGGATGAAAAAAAAAACATAAAAACACTGTTACTGAAAAACATGAGGTTAAGAGAAAGATGTATGTGTACAGAGAAAAAAAAAAGTTGGAACTATGGGCAAAGAAAATAAAAAATACTCAATAGTAAAAGAGGCAGAGAAATTACAGAGCATTTTTGATGGAAACAAAAAAAAAATTGGAAGTTGGGGAAGAGGCCCAAGCAAGAAGCCTCCATTGGAAGAAATTGAACTAAAAAGGAAATCGATGAAATTATTAGGGTTGAAACTGAAGTGAGGGAAAGACAGAAGGAGAATTTTAGAGATCTTTATGAGAAGAGCAGTGATATGTTGAAGTGTGGAATTGAAAGCAGCATTATAAATATTAGTGACAAAAATGCAAAGAGAAAAATGAAAAAATGTTAAGACTATAATTAGAGATTGTAAAACATGAATGTGGCTTGCTTATGCCTTAACAACTTAAGTTGGTTAATATGCATGTGAAGATTTATTTAAGAACCATATGGTTTGGTTAGCAAATTATTTAGTATTGAGAAGGAATTGTTGATGAAAATTAGAATACAACCAATGTGTCAGAGTGGAATATTCTGATATTTTTTTAATGGAATTTAGCAATAGGTATTATCCGAAATGACTATTCTGAGTTCGTTTATCATTTTAGTGCCTAATGGTAGTACTTTAAGAGCCAGCTGAATAATCCTGAGTGATATTACCTATAGTAGGAATGTGGTTTACAGGAACTCAATAAAATGTGACTCTTCTTATCTGAGCAGTTGGGTGTAAATGAAAACATCCGCGAAAGGCATGTGATTCCATCCTAAAATGATTAAGAAAGTAGTTGGCTGGTTAATTAATAATTAATGGACCACATGTCCTGAAGTCAACTATCACTGATGACAGGTCTGAATAAGGAGCTTGGTCAGTATGCCCGACAACACTCCAAGCAACAAACAAGAATGACTTTGACTAAGTTGGAATAGCTGAAATGCAAAAGCAAGGCAAGGCACCCTTGCATGGAAAACAAGTAGCTCAGACGAAACATTGCTGAAGATGTACCTTTATTCCTTTTCCTTATTTGGACAGTTTGCACGAACCTTGAGAGACTTTCAATGCTATACTCTGGCTTAGCTCTGCTTTCTTGAACTCGGTGAATGTCCTGATGTTATTGTTTGTCTGAGGCATCTGCTTTTCACTTGGAACCCAGTCTCTGTCCCCAGAGAAAGCAGAAAGGACCTGGAAAACTTCTTTGGGAAGATGTGGGATAGGAGGGGTGGGGGAAAAGAGAGAAACAGCGCTTTTCCTTCAGCTGTTTATTTAATCTGACAAAGACGTCAAGCAATCAGTTCGTTTTATGGCCTATTTGATAACTGCCAAACTTGGGGCAGTGCCTTTTAAGGGAAAGGCTAGATTATATGGCCTGGTTTGTTAAAGGCACCTTGAACGAAAAGCCATAGCTCGAAAAGTCAAGAGAGCATCTTTGTGTGCCACAAAGTTCTTCTCTGCCAAAGCACTTTCCAGAACCTGACCTAAGACAACTGCATGTTCTGTGGCCTTTGGGAAGTAATTAGCCTTGATCTCTCTCAGTGTTTGCTGCCTATCTAGCCATCACTAGATCCTATCCATATGGACAATTTTCATCCTATCTCCAACTTCCCCTTTCTGTTTGTTGAGGTGGCCAGAGAAGGTAGTTGTGCTGCAGCTCCAGAGTATCCTGGATGGAATGGGTTTAATCCCTTTCAGATAGAATTTAGGTTTGGATATGTCACTGGTTACACTTTTCGATGATCTTTGGCAGGAGCAGCACAGGGGTAGTGTATGCATCCTTCTCTCCACGGCTTTCAATACCATCAACCATGGAATGGCTCCAAGGCTTGGGAATGCGGGCACTATGTTGACCTGGTTCACTTCCTTCCTCTGAGGGTGTTTTCAGTAGGTGTTGATAGGAGTATGAGGTCTGACTCTCAGTCCCTGCTTTGTGTGGTTCCACAGGGATCAGTGCTCTTGCCGTTCCTTTTGAACAGCTATATGAAACTGCTGAATCATATCATCTGTCACCATGGATCAGGAGTGTCAAACTCAAGGCCCGTGGGGTGCTTAAATCTGGCCCATGAGGCCAGCCTGGAAATAGCAAATGACCAGCCCATGGAGCTCTGGCAGCCAAAATGGGGCATCGGGGGTGGGATCATGTGAGGCCCGCATGCCCCATTTTGGTCAGCAGGGTGCCGCAGGAGACTGTCCAGGCTGAAAATGGAGCACGTGGGGGGGCTTGCATGCCCCCCCCGCCCCATTTTGGCTGGCAGGGCACTGCAGGAGGCATCCATCCCGTCTCCCTCCCCCCAGCTGGCCTGTGGAGGAGAATTACAACGCTGATCCGGCCTTCGAAGAAATCCAGTTTGATACCCCTGCCATGGATGATATGCTAATGATACCAGATTATACAGTTTTGTCTATGGTGAGATAAATGATACTGGGATCACCTTTTCTTGATTCCAGGAAGCTGTTAAGAGCAATAGGCTAAAACTGAGCCCTGGCAAAATGAAATGATTTTGGATTCGGACTTCCTTGGTCTTGGCGAATGTTGATCATGAATGGGGATGCAATCCCTAGACCGGAGGTCTCCAAACTTGGCAACTTTGAGACTTGTGGACTTCAACTCCAGAATTCCTCAGCCATGCTGGCTGGGGAATTCTGGGAGTTGAAGTCCACAAGTCTCAAAGTTGCCAAGTTTGGAGATCCCTGCCATAGACGGACGGGATGTGTAGCTTCTGGGCTTTTGACACCTGCTCAAAGAACAGGTGGCAGTCATGGTCAGGAGAGCCTTTGTGCAACCGCAGGTTGTGCAGTAGTTACATCCCTTCTTCATAGACATTCATGCCCTAGTCACCTCTTGTTTGGGGATGCACTATACATAGGGTTGCCCTTGAAGAGTGTCCAGAAGCTTCAGTTGGTTCAAAAATGCAGCGGCCCACATAGTTATTTGTAAGTCGAGATTAGTGCACGTGCCATCTCTTTTGCAAGAGTTGCATTGGTTACCGATTTGCTTTGGTGAAATTCAAGGTGCTGGTTATCATCTTTAAAGCCCTACATGGGCCAGGTTATTTAAAGTACGACTTCTCCCCAGTTACATCTATCTGGCCAACCACAGCAGGAATGTGCTGCAGATTCCATCTATCGGTAAAATACCGATAAAATGAGCCTGAGCAAAAAGGTTTTCTCTGTGGAATACCATTTCCCTGGATATAAGATTGGCCACTGCCGTTATACTTTTCCGGAACATGTGGTTCTGTCAGCAGGCCTAGGCATCCAGGTAGAGACTGAAGCAATCAAGGGGCTGTTGTGATTGTGTGGTTGCTGCCTGAAATGTTAAAACTGTAAGTTGCCCAGAATCACTGTGTATGTGTTGGACAACCATATAACAGCAACAAAATTCTTCCATCTACCCAGCATACCACAGAAAAATTACACAGCTGTAATAAAAGAAAAGCTTGGGGTAACTAGAGTACATTTTACATGGAAAGAACATCAACTCAATAAGATCTTCTAGTGTGCAAAACAAAATTTTTGAAGCCTAATTATCTTTTTCACACTGCCCTCCCTCACCCTAGAAATCAGTTAACACAAGGTTTGATTAGGAAAAAGAAAATCTTGTCTGTTAACAAGGATTAAATTAGTTGGCTTCATTTCTTCTGTTTAGACACACACCCACACACACTGGTTTTAAAGGTCACGCATGTGCTAAACTAACGTGTGCGTCACTTTCTTAAGTATGTTAGTAACTGACATTTATTTCAGTCAAACAATTTAGTCTTCGGTACTTACCCTGTAAACTGTTACAATCTGCATTAGATTTCGAAAAGAAGAAAATGCATCCAAAGTTTATATGATGAGAGAATTTCCTACCCTCTGGGAATTGCATAGGACACCGAGAGGATAGGTAGGCAGTTCCAAATATTTGGTCACACCAAGCTTGAAATGAAGAAATCACTGGAGGATGTTTGGAATAAGGAGAAGATGCTGGGGTTCTTGATCATAAACAACTCTTTTGAAATGGTAGCCTCAGTGTATTCTTTTAAAAAGTGTTTACAAATCATCTCTAGGACATTTTTGGGTTTGAAAATTAGTTACACTGTCTTAATTTTGGCACGTAAATTGGGAATTATGTAGCAGAAGTGGTCCTTTTCGCCTTCTATTATTTGGGTTTCAGCCTCAGTTAATGACAGGGTTATTTGCAGGTTATTTGTGGGGGGTTATATTACATGGAAGAAGGGTTGCCATATGGGCTGAGTTGGTGCTCGTTTTGAGCTATGGAAGCCCTTTGAGGCAGTCCAGACAAGAAGCACAATGATGAGTACCAACTCTATGATTATTGTAAGGTTACATTAATAGAATTGCAAAGCTCCTTTTACTCTCTGGTAAATAAAGGAGGGTCCCTTTTGAAATGCTTCCCATACCTCCTCTCCACCTGTAGACTGACAAATCTTTTTTAGGCCAGTTGTCCAGCCTGTAGCTCTTTTTCCTGGCTCCCAAGGCCATTCCCACATCTGCTTTTAGATCGTCCCATTCATACAGAGAAGGCACTCCTTCCTGGCTGACTCC